GAAAGTGTGGATTCATGCTGCACGCTGGAATTTTAGGTAAACAAAAAGCTAAGAAATATTTCTCACCCTGCCAACATTGTGTAAAGAAGAACACCCAAGCTCCATATGTCACAAGCAGCATCATATCCCTGTCTCATGAGAACCTATAAAACGAAGTGTTAAAGACGTTTCACGTATTAAAAAAACACCCCAAACCAAAACCACTACACAGCCTATAGAAGGGTAAGTCAATCCCAGGATAATTTCAGAGGTTTGATTATTTATTTTTCAATATACATGTTACAGTAACTATCAACAATATTTCTTGTTCCCAGAACACCCCTCTTAAGATTCTCAAAAGGCTTACATCTTATTTTTGAGAGTGGAGTCTACTATTTTTAAAGCAGGTTTATAATAAACATATGCACCAGTGTTTATAAAGTATGTATAATTATATTTATGGAAAACTAGCAGAATTATTTTTTTTTTTTAAGCACTGCTAAAAAGTTTTACTTGATGCATCAAAAACAGCATAGAGAAAACACATGGCAGCTTAAGATACCTCTGGTGCCACAAAGTTTGCAGTGTAGCACGGAGTTAGAAGTAGACCATTTTCTCCTCGAAGTTGTTTTGCAAATCCAAAATCACAAATCCTGATAGAATCGGCATTATTTGAATCATCCGTATATAAAATATTACTAGGTTTAAGGTCTCGATGCACTACCTTTAAACAGAGAAATTTTAAAATCTATCATTTAGAAGTTGCACACACATTTATTTGTATATAATTTGCAATTTATAAAAACTATTCTTTAAATTAATATACTTATTAATAGTTCTACACAATTATGTAACTTTCAAGTAACAAAAAAAAAATCTAGTTCAAGTAGCATCATATGAGCCAGTAGGCTTTTTTCATGCAACTGGAACTAACATAACCATTTGCCAACAAGCATGAGAACAAGTATCTGCTATTTCATAAACTGTAAAAGTTGAGTCAAAAGGGCCTGCCAGAATAACAGGATGAGTTGTTTATATTATTAACCTTTTTCATAAAATACTCAGAAATCTTCTTCTCTTCTGCCATAAAAATAGGCTAACCAAAGAACATAACAAAAGGCATTTGTTAATTCTAAGAAGTGTGAAGGAAGCTATGTTATAGAAGAAATCACTCACTCCTTGGCAGTGCAGGTAGTCCACAGTCTTGGCTATAGTGTATAACACAGCACTAGCCTCTCGTTCTGAGAAGAACTTCTGCCTGAGAATTCGATCAAGCAGCTCTCCTCCTTTCATCAGTTCAGTGACAAGGTATATGAATCTACCATCATCATACACCTGATGAGAAGTTTAACAAGTGCACACATATATAAAAAAAAACACATATTAAAAATGGTCATCTATAATTATACATCTTGATAAATGTGAAAAGTACCAACTAGATTGTTCACCTATTCACATATGAACATAAAACACAAACAGCAGGGACTGAAAAATCTAATCCCCCAATTCAGGAGCCTTAAAGCATGAAGTATAAGAAAGCTTACGTGTCATTCTGTGAGACATTGAGGTAATCGATTGTTAATTCATGACTCAGAATTAAATTTTTCAGTCTAGGAACTTCCGTTGTAAGAGGAGAGTAGCCCTACCACTCCCCATTGCTCTTCCCCTCCATGGACAATTTTTAGCTGCTGGCACTTTGCATATACAGGACAACATGAACTGCTTTTTCAGATTCAGATTACCAACACATCAGCTACTCATTTGAAATAAGAAGAAATATGACATTTCTAACCTTTACGTCATTTCTCACTTCGAGTTCACCAAACAGCATTTTGAAAAAATTAATATCAGGACGATGTTACATTTTGAAATACTCAACACTTGGCTATATGTACTACTCTCCTAATCTATTTTACTATGTAAAGGAAATTTAATAAATTCCAATAAACTCCCTACATCTATATTTATTTATTGACTACTATGTAATAAGAGGTAGTGGAGAAAGAGGTACATACATCCTTTAAAGTAATGATATTTGGATGTTGTCCGTAACGCATGAGAATCTCAATTTCTTCTGAGGGATCCCTCTTACTTTTGTCAATTATCTGCAAAATATAGCAACAGTAAAAACAACTTGGCTAAACAACGTCTATTTAATAAAGATTTTTTTTTGTATTTATAGTCTCACTTCAACAACAGAGTAAGTTTTCTAGAGTTCATTACTTCTTACTAATCACGACTAATTCATCTTCCAGCTCCACATCCCACTGTTTATTCATTTCTTGCTCTATCCTTGCTACCAGTTAAAACTGTATCATTAATGCAGTCTATTCTGCTCCAATGGACAAAGAAATGCAATGGACTGTCTGAAGCATCACTACTTCCCTGCAGCCCAGTTCCACCCTTGTGTCTCTTATTTCAGGTGTGCTCATCATCATACAATATTTTCAAGCTTCAAGACTGTAATTGCACAGCCAGTTCTTCAAGGCCACATTTTACCCACAAAAAGAGCTACAGAAGCTAATACACAATTTAAACAAATGAAGAAAACACTGTTTTTCATTTCTCACAGCACGTAAACAGCTACAGTAATTAGAAAACTCACACATTTAAGTTTACAAATCTACTACACAATAATTTCAGAACTGTCACAGTGAAATTTATTCAAAGTACCTTTACAGCAAACTCCATGTTTGTAGCTATGTGTATACATCGCTTGCAAACAGAGTAGGAACCAACACCAATATCTTCCTTCAGTTCGTATACATCAGTAAACTGTGCGCTGTTTCCATGAAGCTGCTTTGAAACACAAACACATACAAACCGTCATCTAAAGCAACAGATTCTCCTTGCAATAATATTATTTCCAACATCAAAAGTTTTGTCTGCTTGCCTGTGTTTTCTCTTTTGCATTGTCTCCAGAAATACAGCAACTCACTTTTTAAAATTTAAAAAAGTCCCATGGAAGCATTTTAGTAATGCAGATTTTATAGTCGTCTCCCCAGCCAAAAAAGAACAGACTCTAAACGCTAAATATTGGTCAATCTTTGGCATATCAAAAAAGTTTCCCCCAAAATAAGATGTTACCTGTACTATTGGCAGTATATTGGTGAGTGGTGATATTTTATGATCTTCTACAGTAGTAGTTGCAACAAAACTAAATCCTTTGAAGAGCTGATGTGCATTAGCGCTAGGCGGGACTCCTGGAGAATCTAGTGGCATACACATTTGATTAGCATGGCTAAATCCTAGCAAGGCTAATTTTTAACATTCAGAAGATATGTGGGAAGAAACATTTTGACGGAAGGGAAGCAAACAAGGGCAACGCTAGATACTGAATAAGACTTCTAGTCACTTATCTGTTGTCAATAACGTACAAAGCAAGTATTCCTGGATTTTATCTAAAACTGGCAAAACACTGCAGCAACTAACGTATGAATACATGTTTTTAGGAAGAAGTTTATTGAAGAACAACACTACTCATGAGAAAAATAAAGATCATAGTCTTATGTTCAAGGACTGCACTACAAAGAAGAGTGCCCACGGTTTTTACTGCTTCAGTGGTATATGTGCTGCTGGCACAGCAGAGGTGAGGCAATACAAGCATATTCAATTAGTAATACTACTGAATAATTGGAACCAAAATTTTCCTCAAATTATATTATGTGCACCTCTGAATTAACTGCTTGAAATTGCACGGTAAGCACAGCTTGCTAATTCTGTGTAGCCTATTAGAACCATAGACAACCTCCAAACAAACATGACAAGTGGTTTTAGAAGTTGGATGCAGCAGTAAAAAAATATTCACAAAAGAAAACCTGAAGTTAAACTTGAAGCGTAGTAAGCAATAAGTGTTTGCACTTAACTGTCTTCATTTCCATGTTCAGTTACTTGGAAATTTTCATACCGCAATAATCTAAGAGTGGTTTTAAAGATAAATTTTCATAAGCTTCCTGAAACTATTTGAGATGTCTTTGCAACTGATCTAGTACAGATCCCCAGTCCACGCTACATTTTCCCCACACTTGTCTACCTTTGAATCACTGTTTTCTCAAAAGTAAAGTCAAATCCAGCACTGGTAGTGAAGAGAACAGCTCAATTAAAGAATTATTGTAATGCTAGTTTTAGGATTTAGTTCTAATGATGATAATAAATCACTGCTGGAATCAAATTTAGTTTACTTTTAGTATTAAACAACACACACACACCACCCCCCCACCCACCCACCCAAACACTGCATGTCTGACTTTAAACCATAACTAGAAACCATAATTCTGCTGTTAATTTTTTTTGTTGTTGTGGGTGAATAAAAGTTTAGCAGAATATTTCAAAGAACAGAAACCCACCGAGGAAAACATATTCCTTCAAAGTACTGGAACCCTGTTGCACACTTTCCTTTTAATTTTGTCACTGTTTTTTTCTCTTTGTAAGCTTGTTGTTGTAACATTAATTTGATCCCTCTTGTCCTATGAACCTCACCAATTTATAAGCATGCACAATTACCTTTTGGTGTTTTAGCTGTGAATTCTGGATCAAAACAGAAGGTATCTTCTGGCTTTCCAGAAGCAGGTTTAAATGGGGGTTGAATTTCTCTTCTGAACAGTTTCTGAAGTAGAAGGACAAAGCCATAGAATTAAAAGCGAATGAAACTTCCATGTTTTTCTAAAAGACTGAATAATATATAGCAAGTAGAAAACCACAAATATATATGAAGACTAAGTTACTTTCATGTACCTTTGATTTGAAATGCTACAGGAAATGTTACCGAATAAATCAAATAACACCCAGCTCTTTCCTTATCCTCCTGAATCTGCCTCACCTACAGATCTGCACTTTTACAACTACCACAACAGACTGCTACTTATTACTAGTTCATCCTTGGCTTACTCAGAAGAACATGGAACAGCCATAGTGCATCACACCTTCTATCATCATCTCAGACCTGGTGCACTGCTATTTTGCCACCACCCTGAAAAACCCATCCCAAAGGGAAGATATGGAATACAGGCTTTACCTTTCTAATCTGGGTCCCAGACAAAGACGTCTCATGAGTGACAGGCATGTCCCTCCTGGCAAGGAACAGCCAATTCTCAAAGCCCTATTCCAGGTTTTTCCTAACCTACTAAACTAAGTCCAGGGGAGGGAAGGGAAAGCAGACCAATGGCTCCTCCTTTTTTTCCTCCTTTACTCAACGTGCTTTAAAAAACACATTGTCCAAGTGATCTCAAATCAACAGAAAGTCCCATTTATAGTTAAGGAAGAAAAAATTTCATGTCAAATGACATCGAAACCCCATGCAAAGTTCTGAAAGTTCTGAGAACATTTTCTTGGCATTTCTGTCATCCTTTCAGACCATTTTTTTTCCCCCCGCAGTTCTTTTCATTTAATCTTCCTACACAAGAACATGCAATGTATTTAACTTTTTTAAACAAAAAACAAGGAAGAGGGACCTGAATTCATCCCAAAGAAATAGTGAGACAATACAGAAGTGCTCATCAACACCACCACAGTGAAATAAACACAAAGCACTGTCAAATAACAAAAAAATTGCCACCAAAAGAAAAAAAAGTTAGAACTGCAGATCTTTCAAACTTCCTTGCTGGTATTTATCTCAATATCAGTCCCTTAATAAAGTAGATAATCAAGCCATAAACAACACTGCCTTCTCTTATGAAGTGTACTCACATAAAACAACGAAGTTTTGCTGTTACTGAAAACTCTACTTGCTAATCAGCACCTGATGGTAGACACTGCATAAACACAGCTAGAAAAATCACCTTCTCAGAAGCAAATGCAAGAGATAGAGAAGGATAATGACAACAGGCTTGAAAGAAACAATTGAGCACAGTATTGGCTGGCAGTGCAGGTATTTCTGTCAGCACAGCAACAACTTGTTTACTGTGTCTATCCATTTGTAGGCATTATAGCAAAGGAGTGTTTTCAGAGTAGAACATCTTAGTATTGTGAATTTTTCAGAAACATTTCAAATGCTTAGAGAACTGCAGAGTAAAAGCATCAAGGTGCTTGTTAAAAATTTAAGCAAGCAATCGTGAAATTGTACAGACTTCTGATCATCTCGGAGCACCCGAGTCAATATTTCAACTGCGAATGGAATATGACTGATAAAATAGGAATGTGCAGCAGCTAACTAGAGAGAAGTCGAAGCAAATTACAATCACAGTGAGTTTTTGTGCCCTGCATGGAAGCACTAGACAGACACTGAAGAGAAGGATTCTTGTACACAGGGAACACCAGCATCCTCTCCCAACTACAAATGCTCTAACAGACAATTAAAGCTTTAGAATGCTGCAACTCAATTATTTAAAAAGTAAATGCACAATATATAATTAATACTCTCTACCATAGATACTACAGTTCCAGATGCCAAGTAAGATTATAGCAGAAGCCAGAATGTAACAGTCAGTGGTATTGCAGTGTTTATTGTGCCCTATTCAGATGCAAATACCTATAAGGCTACACAACACAAAAAAATTAAGAACAGCTTTATCATTCAGATCATTTTGTACTTACATTCCAGTCAACAGTAGAAAAAAAAGGATGTCTCTTGATTTCTTCAACTCCATCCGAACCAGCTCCTGAACAAAGAAAATACTGTATCTTAAACACTTTTGGGTAGCCTTTGAAGATTACACTAAAAATTAGTTAATTTCTAAAAAATAGCATAGACATGGTTATTTGAGAGAATTATAAATACAGAAATATACCAAGGATGTAAAATACTCAAATAAGTAGTGTACACCTCATCAGGGAGGCAAACAGAGTACAAGAAGCTCATAAATACAGAGAGTCAATATTCTTTGCTCTGACACTGTCAAAGCTTCGGCTCACTGCTAAGAGTCACGGGCCCAAGAAAGTAACCATTCATTACTGAAACCCAGGAAAGTCACAATCCAAGTTAACAAGAAATGGTCTCTAAACCCAAATCTTACTGACCACCTGGAGCGTGAGGGTCTCTAGCAACTACTTTGTTTAAATAATCAACTCAACCCAACTACTTTTATTTCAAAGATCCAAATAAATGAACCAACCTAGTCTATTTGATGGATTTCTTTTAAACAACATCCTCAGAAGACTCTGTGCTTCAGGGCTGAGGAACTGGGGCATTCCAAGTTTTGCTCTAAAGGAAAACAGAGAACAAGTAAGAGGAAGAAATGTATCTTACTAAAAATTGTCTACATAGACTTCATTGCACAATTTGATGTATCAAAGAGCTATTCCAAAGTCTCATAGAGTGTACACGTTTAACTCATCAGCTTTTAAGATTCACATTATATGAGCGGTTTTCAAAAAACAAACAAAAAACCCAACCAAACAAAAAAAGCCCCACCACACCAGACCAAAAAACCCAAACCTCATCCAAGCCCCTAAAACAAGCTTTAGGTTAAAATAGGTTAAAACAATTACCTCAGGAATAGGTATTTTCAAAGATATCTTCATGTGACCAGTACACTATCACCAAGATACCTCCACCAGAAACAACACCAGAAGAGACTCGCCAAATCCCACGTTACTTGCCCCTGAAGTGATTGCTAATATTCCTCTTGAAGCAAGAGCCTCAAGAAGTATCTCATTAGGCCATCATATAAAAGCTTACTGAATTTACCAATCTTATGAAAACAATTATGTTAAGGGAAGAAATTCTTCTCTGCAGGACTTAGTATAACTTAGAGCTCCAAGTGAGGCTAGTGATCTAATTTCACTTTCACAGGTAATATCACTATAAGCTCACACTCAGGGTAAGTTCAAACTGCCATATGTTGGTAAGAACAGAGCTTCTCTCTCACCCCCTTCCCTATCACCCCCTCAGAAGGCCCAAGGCTCTGCACGTGGTCTAAAGGAAATTCTTGTTAGCTAAGCACAAATGAAGATGAGAACATGTTTGCCCAACAACTTCACTTACTAATCACCAGTTTACCCAGTTTGTCTTGTTAGACAGCTTCTGTTGTAACTGAGGCAACTTAATATGAAAAATGCGAGCGTGTAAGTGCACTCTCCATATATATGCACACAAAGCAACACCTGATTAACTATTGCTTACAAAATAAGGTACGCTGTAACAGTAGCAAGACAGCATAACCACAAGTGGTAAATAATGCTGTTCTAATTCACTGTACTGTTTTTAATCTTTATTATACACCTACAATGAAAATACAAGTTCATTCCCAAGATTATACTCCTGCAGATACCTAACAGTATTTGCATAGTCTGATCTAAACCTTGGGGGGGGGGGGCAGGGTTTGGCTTTTTTTGTTCCTGTTCTAGCTTAATGCTCTTCAAGAACAAGAAGTTATAACAAGCTGTTGAAACATGTTTAAAAGTTACATTTTCTGACTTTCCAAAAAGTAAGAAAATATACTTACTTCAGTATCATATTCATAGTTTCATTTCGATCTTTACCTTGAAATGGTAGTGTACCAGTAAGCATTTCAAACTGAAAAGAACAAATGTTAATCTAAATCAACACTTCTTCCCCCAATTGCTCAAAGTGTTAAGTACTGTGTTCTTCCTTATTGCTACATTAGACATACTATCTTGAGCTTTTAAAAGATTATTGAAAAACTTCACAAATGTAAAATTTTGTTTTCATCGGCAGTTTACATGATAACAACAGTGGTGAGTGTAACGTAATGATGATGTAAGACTATTTTACACCCATAAGCTACTTTAAAGTAATAAAAATCCCCTCTGTAACCTAGTTTTCAGTATTGCTGTACTATGAAAACAGCAAGAAGAATAAATTCTAAAACAGTACTTTACTTTCATATTTACATAATGTCAATATGCACATTTCAGCCTGATGCTCTAACACATCGCAGGCATAAGTGCTAGCAGTTAATGGCTTATTTCACTACTCCACTCCCATATTCATTCAACAGGCTTACAAAAATGCAACTAATATTCCATCAAACCAAGTGTTCAGTTTTTTTCTTTAACTATTAAGTACCACACAAAATAAATATACAAACTGAAGTTTTACACTGACTACCACTGTTCTAAACTACTAACTACACATATATGATTTTTGTGGTTCCTGATATGTACTCCTTACAGGGCTAAACAGACGAAAAGACATTTTATTCAAATTAATTGCTATTTTAGTAGCAATTCACCTATTGAATTCTGTCTTCCCCTTGCCCAAGCATTTGTAATTAGATCTGGACAAGCTTATTCTAACTACATTATTTCACATTCACTTAGACATATGCAGTGTATTTGTGACCTTAAGCAAGGTAAGCAAGGAAGCATACAGTACCATGAGAACACCAAAGGACCACCAGTCAGCACTCTGGTTGTGCCCTCGCCTGTTTACTACTTCAGGTGCCATGTATTCTACAGTACCACAGAAAGAATAGGCCTTCTTCTCTTGATCTACTGATTCTTTGCTGAGTCCAAAGTCTATAACAACAGCATTACAAGAATATAGCAAGTAAAGAACTTTAGAAAAAAAAAAAACAACCACCAAACCAACCAATACTGTATATAGTATTTCAAAATCAAAGTGTTGACAGGTTTTCTTTGTTTGCTTTCAGGAATATTACATGATAATCCTAGGTCTACATGAAACAAGAAACTGCAGGGAGCTAGAGATACTGCAGACATTTTGTTTATTACATACCATCAAAACCATTCTATAAGTCATACTAAATTGATGATTAGCCATCAGTATTACTACTAAAAATAACTCAATATTTTAAATACTACACATTTAGAGCCTTACAATAATCCAAAGTTCTCATATTCTCTGTTTACTGCCTGCTTTAGTCGCACAAAAAATGAATACAAGTAAAAATTAGTTTCAGAGAGAACACAGTCCGCATGGTCTAGTATTACTGAATGATGAATAAATAAAATCAGACTAAAAATAATGTTGGTTTATAAGACAACATGATTCTGCACCGTGACTCAAGTTCTGTAAAGAGTCTTGCATATCTGCTCGCTTTACTCCCGGAATACTTTTTTTCCCCCCGTTTGAACATGCCATTGAATACATAAACCCCCGATATTAGTCCAGTTCTCAAGATGGGGCTCTCAAATGTCCCTTTTTCAAAGGGTAAATGATTGATAACCAATAACCCCATCAATTATTCTTTTTACTTTCAGAAGGAAATGAGAATGTTAGGATTGAACTGGATTTAAATGTATCACACAGAATTTTAAAAATTATGCATTGCATAAACATGATTTCCATCATTCCATCCAGTGTTTGACAGTTTAAAAAACTTCTTGTTCTCTTGGAATCTATTAGCAATATCTAAAGATTAAAATATAAAATGAAATTTATAATACAAGAGTATGACCTTAAGTGCAATTTAAAACTTTCAGAAATTCATTGTAATTTGTATTCCAAATAGTCAGTCTTTTGTATATATAATTTCCTAGAATATATACATTTTAATTGTTCCTCATAGAACGTTTTTTTTGCAATTTTATATTAAAAGTGATAGTCCAGAACATAAAAAAAAGTAGTATTTCAGAAATCTTATTGTGCACTAAGGTCTTTTTACACCAAAAGCACCTCTGCTCCCTTTTAAAAGTCTCACAGTCAGCAACTTTTATCCTGGGTCTATGACCTCTTTATCTTCACCTAAAAGGCTTTTGACAGTAAGTGTTGATATAGCTCACTTTCTAACCCAAATAGTGGATAGCTTTAGTTACTTACACACCACCACCTGAACTAAAGTTCTTTAAAAAAAACCCAACAAAACAAACCACATTCTCAATGTCTGGTTTTGAATTTTGAACTACATTTCTTCTATTTTAACCACAGTAACTAAGATCTGCACTTTACAGTAATACTGCTGCAACTTGATCTACGCAAATATTAGCCAACATAAAAACTAACTTCAGTGGAACCTGCACGGACATCAGGATCGGGTAAAAGACCAAAACCATCAGATACAGTCTCCGATTATCTAAATACTTCAATAAAAGAACTTAATACTATATAAAGAATCATTATATAGGGAAGGGATACAGATTTTTTTATAAAAATTCTCTCTCTCAAAAAAAAAATTTCTAAATAGCTAAGTACCAGCTTACACATACCCCATTTATCACTACATATATCTTAGGCTTATAACTAGAAGCTTATAAAGAAATATGATCAGAAAGTGCTATACTAATAAATGTTACCTACCTGTTAACTTGATATGTCCTGCTTCATCAAGCAAAATGCTGAAAATTAAAATTCACATTCACCAATACACATAAGGAGGAATGTTTACATAACATTTAAAACACAATAGTTAACAGTTTTGATCTCCAACTTCTATCATTAATTTAACAAGCCAGTATTATTTCACTAAAATCAGATATATTTTTTACATTTTATGTTTGTTTACATAGTGTAACAAAAATATTTTTTTTAATTTTTTACATCACTATAGTGGAAAATGCAAAGCAACAAGCAAAATACACATAATAGTGGTAAAATACATTTTACTTTACTTTTCTGGCTTCAGGTCCCTGTATACAATTCCCAAGCTGTGAAGGTGATCCAAAGCAAGGGCCAGTTCTGCGAGGTAGAATTTCACATCTTCCTCTGTAAACATAACCTAATAAGAACTGTATAGATTTACCTTCTGATCTTGTCTTCAGTTTTTAAAACTGCAATCTAAAAAAAATACTCCTGTCTGCCTGAATTTCAAAGTAAGTTTTAGAAGTACCTTACGAACTCTTAATTAATGAATTCACCTAACAGAAATGATATACTAATATAAGCTAATCATCAAGTACACAAAAGAACTAACTGCAAAACTTAAACAAAAACATCAGCAGTTACTGCAGAGCATTAGCTAACTTTTAAGGTAATGAATTTAACGGTTATATTTGATGTTATTGACCACCAGCACTCCTTCTGCCACAATCCTATACAGATTGTTTTCCACTGCATCATAAAATTTAGTATAGGACTGCTGTATTATCTCTATGAATTCATATTACCTATATTTAGAAAAAAAGGGTAGATACAATTTAGAGAAAAGTATGCAAAATACAACACTTTGGTGAAAATAACAATGATGTGAAAATCTGCAGTGGGAGTTGAAGAACCTACTCTGCTCCTCTTAGGAAAAGAAATGTGAAGAACCCTAGTGAGATACTGACAAACTGACTGACATTGCATATAGAGCACTTGAGAGATGCATTTCTATCCTAAATACTCAACAGGTTGTTCCTAACTTCACATACAAGAATCATACTTGCTTTGGCTCTTGTCACGTTCTACAGGCTAGTAATCTTTCAATTACTGGAATTGAATTTGAGGTTTAAGTGAACTATTCCTTTATTTGTTGAAAACACCAGGAACTAGAACAGCCATCTTAACTGCACAGTAGATAGCTAACAAGACGTAAATTAAGGTAACCGGGCTTACCAATTTAGTAGTACTTTGACCTGTACTTTGAATTGCACATATATAATCTGTTCTACTGGCAACAGAAATATTCCTAATTTCCATAATGATAGGTATGAACAATAAAGCTGTTCCGCTACACAAAGTTTCACCTTGATTTTACAAAGAACTGTGTTGATACTGTTTTTCATCTATATCCAAAAGAGCAAGAAGAAACCTTGGGTATTGTTATTCCTTGGAGTAGCCAAAATGCAAATCTCAGCATATAGTGATGCTAAATGGTAATCTACAACGTCCCAATAATAATTTCATTTAAAACTGCTTTCTGTGTCAAATTAAACATGATGCAAGTCGACTTCATTAAACGTTACCAATGAAAACTTCATTATATACTCATTTCACTTCCACAGCTGAAACTCATACCCACATTAGAATTCAAAGACCAGCAAAAGTGTTTTAATAACCTCATACTAAACCCAATTAATTTAAAGTAATCCTTGTGTGGAAAGTATGAAATGCCATAGGGAATTTACCCTCATGTGTATTGCCCATTGTCTTTGTTTTGCCTTGTACTTTTAAAAATACCTTGTCTTCCCACCAGAAAATAAAAAGGTCTGATTTTTTTTTTCTTGTCTATATATACGGTAAGTCTTTAAAAGTCATCATAGAAGGTAACTTAAGTCTTCCAAAAAACATGTAGAGACTTAACAGGAAGAAAACTTGACGATTATTAGTTCTTTATTCCCAAAGGGAACGCATACCTCTTTCACCACCTAGCTACTGTTATTATGGATAGACTTGCATGCCTTATTTAAGAATGTTGCATACTCGGTAATCCCAGCTGCGTTAGTGCAAAAGAATAGTTCTTCCTGCTGGACGAGAATTTCCTCTATAATTAGACATCCTATATCAAAGCAGATATTGACCTCTTTCCTACCTACTGTTCCAATAACCCTTTACAAGTCAGTCAGTTTGTTTAAGCTTTTAACCTCCCTTCTAGCATCAATTCTTAGACATGATCACTGCTTTACCAAGGTCAGCTTTTTATAAAAAAGGAAAACAAAAACCCCTTTAAATTCTTCCTTCTGTTTTGCTGGTTTCTAAAGTAAAGCTTTATTTTTACAAAAAGTATATGGGGGAAACAAAAAAACTCAACTCTTATGGCCTTACATACTGGGGATACAAGCACCTCCATGTCACGAAAAATCAGATACCCAGTATTCTCATTTAAGAAAGTGGCTTTTCCTGTGCATTAGCAATAAAAAAAATGTGTTTACATTGGTAAAAACACTGAGAAGCTCTCTTACTGTGAAGTCATTGAGAAATTGCCATTAAAAATTTAGATCTTTATGAAATGTCTGCAGACAAAAAAAAAGTCTTATAAACATGTTCATAATACTTAAGGTAATATATAATAAATATATGCTGACTTTTTGTGGTTTTTTTTTTAAATAGAAACAGGCTGCATCATATTGCCTCCTCTGAAACTCTCTCCAGAAAACAAAAATAGAAATTAAAAGTTGAAGTTCCAGTTGCGTGCCAATGTTAGAGGAAGGGGAGTGGTCTCAAAATTACTCAATGTTCACACTGTGTGAGATTAAGCATTAGGATTTGTATTACAGCATTATGAAATTTTACAATGCAGCAGAAACCTCTTATAGATTAGGCTTCCAGGAGCACCTAAGCTGACTATGAGCATGAGAACTATACATCCCCTTTCCTTATTGCTAAATCTTAATTTACTTCAGTTCAGTTTCCAAGCAACAAAACATTTTTAGGCAAAAGAACTGTCCTTTGTAGATATCAAAGAAAAACTTAAGCTACTAGTCAACACACATTCATGTTTCTTAAGGTTATAGAATATACTCTAGAATATGTAAGGGAAGCCCAACTAAGTTATTAAAAACTTGACTATGACGAGAATTATGAGGGAAACAGCTATAGGAGACAACCTTATACTGACAAAAAAGCCCACCTGCCTAACACTGAGTGGGGATAAAATTTTAGGTACTTACCTCTTTGGATAATCGCGTGAATACATCTCCTCCCCTGAGAAAATCCAATATTAAATACAGCTTCCCTTCAGTCTGAAAGGCTTTAAAAAAATAAAAATATCAATAGTTGTGTGACAAAGATGATCTACAAAACAGATCTGAATGCTTTTACAACTTGGGAATTTCAGTGAAAGACAATAATTTTGTTAAGGGACTGAAACAATTCAGTAGCACATGAGGTAATTTACTGAATGATTACTTGCTTCTTCACAGAAGACAATCTTACTCATAAGAGATCATTAAAGTATTATTCTTTTATTTCTCCTTTGTCAAACAGGGGAACACCAAGTATGTGAATTACGTGGTTTTACTCAATGAAAAGTGAAAAAAAAAATCTCTGCGGAACTTGTAAGAATTTTCCAGGAAATCTTTAATCAAAATGACTTAATCTAAAACTTTTACATACATGCATATTTACATTCTTTTTTTAGTCTTGTGATTTTAACTTGCAAGAACCTAATTTGGGCACTACAATGGACGCTACAAAATTGAGAAAGAACAAGATCAGCTACGCCTTCAAGTATTGAAAGAAACTGTAGCAGAAAAAAATAATACCAACCATAGTGCAGTTTGACGATAAAGGGATGATTTACTTCTACTAATATATCTCTCTCCATTTTTGTACGAACTCTATCCCGAACTGATGGGGAAAAAAAGAAAAAGAAAAAAAGACTATTATGAAACAAACATATTTGATATAATACAAATGGAGCAGAAATTAGGATATGAAAAATCCTTGCTGTCTAAAGAAATACTTTTCCTTGTTATATTGTTTTAAAATTTTAAGTCTCCTACAAAACACATGCTTTCAGACAGCAAAACTCTAATCTATTTGTCACCTGCTCCAACTTCCTTAATGTCTACTTTTTTTTCCCCCCAAACACATCCCAATATTTTGTGATTAACCACATTACTTTCAAGAAAAGACTCACATCTATACTTCCAGGCAGCTAACTTCAACCTCTGCATTAACTATCTATACTGAATATATATTTTCTTTCTTTTAAGATTACTTTTTTCTCTTCAACTAGTAACAGTCTCTATTCACACACAGTGAAGTTGCATCCACTAAAGTGTGTTCTGAAAGCCAAAACGGTAAGTCAGCTTCCTATGGCACCTATAACAAGAAGGAATAACTTAACAATTTTAACCACAGTAGAGTTCTAACTTAACAGAAGACAAAAGGAAAACTGTCTATGAAATTAATGTTTTAACATAATGAAAAGACTAAGCAGAATTATATAATGCAATTTTAAACTTTGAAAGGGTACTCTTTACTGCATAATTAAAGCTATCTGGCCAGATTTAAAATAATTCTTAAACATGAACTTACAAGTTACTCTACAGAAAAGCTACTTTCAGAGAAGAGTTATAAACTCACTGAAAAATATTTAAGATTAAAAAAAGATTTTTAAAAAGTATTTACAAGACTTATTGAAGAGATACAGGTGCAGTGAAAACCATTTTCTGAAACTCCAATGCAAAAGATACATGTACCTTTTAAAGAAGCTTTTTTCAATACTTTCATTGCATAAAGTTGCCCAGCATCAGGACCAATTATTTTCCGTACAAGGAAGACCTGGGAATATAAACACAACTTTTAAAATTACTACAAAAAATATTTTATGTAAACCTGACTAAAAACCATTACTATGTCTTTACTTTTAACTTCATTAATATAGACAAGGAGACAGTATATCCCTAGTCCCATCCCTTTCCTCAAAAACTCTGAGAAATGAAAAGTTGCCAAATATTCATAGTAAGTCTTTTTGCATAAGCAAGCCTTGTAATCCAACAAGCAACTATCACAAAGCATTTACAAACTGCCTATAAATTTCAGACAGCTTTCACTGCTCTTTCCTAAGTACACATCTTTAAAAGAAGATTGTTTGTTTTTTCCTTAATCAGACTAGAGGTACATTTACCACCAAGCTCTCTGAAGTATTCAGACTGGTCATAAACTATACATTCTCTCCTAGAGCAAGCTGTTTAAATAAGTACTTATCAAATAAGTACTTAGATAAATGTGTTTCTTTATATTACTTTCTTGGAGAATGACAATTCTGCCTGGTCTAACACCTCCTAAGAAATTTTTTTGAGGTTTAAGACCCAAGTCTCAAATACGTAACAGACTATATTAATGAATTCTGCAAGAGTGGCGTGATGAAAGCAAGGAAACCTCACCATCTAAGATCAAAGCACCCCTTCCCTCTGGAATAGCAACTCCAACAGGTTTTTCTACTCTTTTTCTTTCCAGAGGAGTTTTGAAGATAGATGTTATATAACTTGACACTAAGAAAGGCATAATATTAGCTAAAATAATGCAGTACAAATAGACGTATCTCCCCCTGACTAATATTCTAACTACTAGGTCTTTCAATTTACAAAATGGTTTGGTATGTGCTCCTGTTTCTAAGATATTCTTCTTATAATAGCAATTATTAGTTATGAGGAATGTTTGTACTGTAAAAAAAATAAATGTGTAAGTCACAGGAGAATGCCAAGAGCTACCCAAAATTGCCTCTCTGATCTTACCTTATTCAGATTTTCACTAACACTAGATTTATGTACATATATTCTTTGTTAGGAATTATTAAATACTTAGAAATTATTTTTGAGAAATAATCAAATAAGCTTGTCAAATTTTCCATTCTAGTATCAAAAATTCACACACTGTCACTGACTAAGCTGAACAGGGTTGAGAAAGGGTTTGTTTTTATTTTAAGCTCTGGTTAGAAGGAAAATGTCATCATGTTTCAAGGTTATCAGGCGTTTTGTTTAAGTTTTGCCCAATGATTGACCTACAGCACTGCTTCTATATGATGTTGATACTCAAAGGGAGTAATTCCAACACCAGCAAATAAGAAAACATCTGTAGATTAATACATCCACAATTGTAAAAGTAAAAATATTAATAAACATGTACAAATATTTTAGTACTCAATAACTAGCAGCTTGTGATAATGTAAAGAATCCATGTACAAGTTACAAATTCTAGCCAGCAGGGACCAAAACAGCAGCCACTGAAAACTACTCAAGCACCATCTATTGAATTTGCAGACAAAGGCTCCATAATCCCACATCTTGCGGAGGAGATACAATGGTCAGCTGTTCAGTTGTAATGCAAAAGCAGGATGGGCACACGTTGCACTAAGTGATACACCGAAGTGAATGGAAGACCTTTTTCAGCAGACTGGGTGCTGAAACCTCAGAAGGTTATCAAAGACTGAAGAAACTCAGTACCAGAAATGAGATTTCACCCTTTATTTCTGTGAAGCAGTATTAAACCCTGCACAGATGGCAAAAAAGACAGGTAGAGGATGGGCTGTAGCACTATAGTAGCCAAAGCAAACAAACCTCGTGTTTGCTAAACCCAAAGGGAGATCCCTGGGAAATAGGAACAGGAGAGAGAAAACAAACACCAGGAAGGCAACAGCTATTGATCTTCATTGTTTGTTTTTCCTTTTTAATAGAAAGCAACAAACACTAGATAAAAAGAGCTCTATTCAGATGGGCAACAGTTGCTGTCCAATTCTTAAAGCTGGCTCCTGAACCAAGTACTGCCAGGTTTCAAAAGTTCTAAAACAGACATCTCACCAAGTTGGTGGGATTCTGAGGCAGAACGTTCCTCAGGCTGTCGGAAGTCTGAACTCTGTAAGTAAGAATCTGTCTGATTCAGGGCTATGATGTCCATACCAGATGTGCTGAACCCTAAGGTAGCTTAAGACATCTCAAGTCAGGAGTAAAAAATGCATGGAGCCTTTTAGTCTCTGAAGACGAGAGGCATATGAGAGAATTGGCAACCAACGCTAGCAGATAAATAAATGTTTCTTAAGCTGTAAAACATCAAGAAATATTTTAAAGTCTTTTTTCTAAACTATCACTTACTCACAGAATGCCTTCTTAATGTCTCTTTTCTCCCCACCCCACCCCCCCACCTCTATGCAAAGGTTTGCTCCTGCCACGAGACAGATAAAACCAGCAGAAGAATACAAAAATGGAAACATATGTAAAGCTTATTGTCTGGTTTTTAGGTGTTGCAAAAGATCTAGTTTAAGAGTCTGGTCTTAAAAAATAAATTAGCTTCTTATACACTAGGATTAACATTTTAATAAATGTGTTTCAAAGTAGTCACTGAGACATTTGATTTTTAATTTACTTTCTGCAATGTGACACCAAGTGGCACATTACAAAAAAAATTATTTTACCAAACAATTTGCCATTTCTTCTATAACCTATTTGAATAATTGTTCACTTAGCGTCTTTTAGCTGTAGATCACATGAGAAATACAGCAAAATGAAAAAAACTGAAACACATTTCCCAGGTTATTTATCATTACTTTGGTTCAAGTTCCAAACTACCACAGTCATTCTTCTGTATCTACCTCAACACAGATTTCACATATTGAAAAGTCAAACATTCACACCGTGTCACGTATCATCATTAACAGACAAATCACCACCTCCTCCAGAAGTGTCTATCAATGTCCATTCCACTGGTGACGCCCCCCAAGCATCAACCTAAACTACAGATGATATGAGCCAACCTATATGGAACAGAGATACTGTTGATTCTGTGTTTCCTCACTAGATGCTGCAATAAAGTCTTGAGGCAGTCAAAACCACCATGATTTTATTTCAAATAGCCATGGCATTAGGCAAACAGAGCTTGCCAACATCAGAGCTGCTGCATAAAAACCACCCCTAACTCTATAACCCAACCGGTAATAAAATCCCTTGCTGTGGGTGCCATTGCTGCAATGAAGTTACAGGTCCCAGTCCAGGTGAACCATAAACACGCTCAGTTAAAGCAAACCATAACTTTCCATGGCAGACCTCCAAAATTTGCTACTGACTCACCCTTCTGCCTAGAAACTGAGGCTGTTGCCTCTCCATCTCCGATATGACTTTTTGTCCTGCTATAAGCACTGCTCCCTTGGCACCAAAGCAATATTGGGAAAAAAATGAAATTTGTCAATAACATTCCCAGCAACTCTGCTACGGCACTGCCTTTCTTATAGTAAAAACAACAACAAAAAAAATCCACATCAACCAACTGCAAAACAGGATGGATAACTTCCTCCAAAACAGGGTAATTTCCACAAGCCTGTACTCAGATTTGTTAGGTTTATACCCAACCTCATAGTATTATAGAAATAAGGGAAGGAAAACATTAATAAAACAAAGCAGGTTCAAAGTGGACATCAGATGAAACCAAAATTTGTTACCTTACCTTTCCAAATGATCCCTGTCCAAGAACCTTTAGTAGTTCAAACTGTGCTGGATCTGCTTTCTCACATCCTTCTTTCACATGGTGTGTAATAGGAATTTCTTTTACACTTCCTTCATCCTATTATTTCAAGGCAAACAAAAACACAACAGTGAACAGGCCTGAATTAAGCACCTCTCGTTAGAAGTACATGTAAATGCCCGCTCTTTTGGTTTTTTGGTTTTTTAATAAAATATTTGAAATTCTAATAAGGCATAAAAACGCTGTTCAAATGAAGTTTTTCCACCCATCCTTTCCTAAATAAATGCACATAGAATTTCTAAACTGAAGCAAAATTCTCAAAGAATGCTCGTTTATTTCCTTTTGTCACAAATATTACAACTACAGCAAACAGATTTTCTTACATGAAAGGAATAAATAAACAGATTTTTAAACCAAGTCTATGATGATCCTTGTGTGCTTCACCTCTCTTTTAGCAGCCTTTTGTTTTCCCAGTGCTTACTCTTCCCGTCTTTCCCTTTCCTGAAATAGTCTTAATGAAAGCTAAAATGAATTTCATCATTTTAGGTAATTATTGCTTTTCACAGCAAGTAATAAATACGGTCATCCAATTGTAGCTAAAGGAATATGCATCGTTTGAAGAGCATAAATAAGATATGAGTCATCTTAAGAACTCTGCAAATTCTTGCATTCAACAGAAGAAACACAGCTCTGGGGTGCAGAGCTCATGGGAAGACTACCCTGTGTGGAGACCTCCTTCAGAGTGCTGAGGGCAATTGGGAGGTAGGTAAAAGATCTACTGTTCTGTTGACTTTTTCCTGTAACTGTCATCTTTATCAAAGCAGGGCACAGCAGCTACAATTGTGAAAAGACAAACAGTCCTGATGAAAACAGACCAGAGGATGTATTGCAGCTTTTATGGTGCAAGAGAAGTTTCTGTGAGTCAAAACAAGATGTCAAAATAAGCACCCTTACAACTACACGCTAAGACCTACAACAGCAACCTCAGCTTGCATGTAGAAGAGGAGCGGCCCCCCTCAGCCCTATCAAGAACACCAATGAACTTGTACACAGCAAACCACCCAGTTACAACAGAAAATCCCATCTGATTTGCACTACTTTGCTCTTAGGGTATCCAAATGATTAACTGTCTGCCTTACCCTCTCTTTAGATCTTTATCTTGAAAGCTTCTCTTTACTAAGAAAGACCAGGCAAACATGGTACCAACCTACACTGCATTGCTCTCACTCAATGACAAGTACAACCACCACCAGAAAAAGACCTGATCACTTGATGAAACAGCTCGTTTTAGGAAAGAATATCATTCTATAGTCAGGTTGACTACAGAAAGTCTTGCTGCCCAAGACCATGCATGAAAACTTATAATCAGCATTATCAGACTCAATACAGAAGTATCAAGATGAAATTCTCTAGGTGGGTTTACACAGAAATTCAGGGCAGAAATCTGATCATTTCAATGTGTACATACTTACTGCAATAATTAAAAAGAAAGGGGGAGTGAGGGGGGAGACAACAATCACCATACTGCATTAACTGTCTATGCCTTCATTGCTTTGTTTGACCAGAGGGGGAAAGAAAGAGCTCAAACATCTTATTACATTCACAAACTCTATTCCAGATGTTATCGCACAAGTCTTTTCCCTTCCCCTACATCTCCTATTTCACTCTCTTTCTGGAAAAGGCCTGTTTGTCACGCCTGCTTCCCATGCAAAGGTAAGTATTAACACAAGACGCTGCAGGATTTAACACAAGACGCTGCTGGATAACAAAGTTAATTCTTTAATTCACACTCTAAGCTACTTTATTTCCCTCTGTGTTCAGCAAAAAACCCAGCCAACATACACTGATGATACAGTGTATACATCCCAACTTCATTTCATCCATCCTGTTGCCTAGGCCCATACGTATTCATATGAAAAATACATACATCTTTTCATTTTTATTTATTTTCTTAAACACATGCCTGGAATTTAAGGCAGGTAAGAACACTAGCATTTCAAGTTATCTGACGACAGATGAAAGCAGAGTCGTCTAGTTATACACCAAGTTGCACAACAGACTTAATGGCTGGTTCTTTCTACAAAAGATGTAAATTCTCTACTAAGAAGCCTTTTTACTTCACCATCCTAATTTGTATTCCTTAACACTGTGAACCTTTGCGTGAGAAAAGATCTTTAAGAGTTCACCTGCTCTTCTGTTTATCACCCACCTTGAGTCATTAGCCCGTGACATCACATGTGGTTGCTGCGGAGACTGAGCATTTTTACATGTGAACTGAGGAGAAAAATGTTTTCTATGCAAATAAAGAATAACTTCAGACGTATGAAACAAGTTATTTTTTATGAAGTGTTTTACCTTCATAAAAGAAGTCCATATAATTTCACCTACTTAACCGTCATTAAAGTACTAAAAATTGGCATGACTGAAGTATAAGACTACCTCTGCATCATCAACAAGAAACAAACAGGTAAAGAGTTGAACAGGTATATAAGTCGGTTTCATTTGCAGTTCATGGAAGCCAAACTAGAAATGAAAATTTGGTTATCTGATTTTGTGCTCTGTTGCTTGAGCAGCAAATCTATTTCAAGGCTCAGGCACGGGCTCCCACTGAGCTGCCTTGCACAAGAGGTAATCAGCATAAGACAAAGCACTGATAGAAATGCCGCAATCAGTTATGGCTTTGTGCCATCTTACTTCATTACAGCTTGGCTGGTACGTAGCTCCAAGCACCTAACGAACAAGCTCGGCAACATCCTTCTGGTTCAAGTACAGTGAAAGATTGAGACAACCCATTGCTCATCTTTCTTTCCTACCTGTAAGGTGACAATGACACTGATGGCTTATTTACTTACACCACACCAGGAAGTGTACAAGCACCACGTTTCTACCCCCAAGAGTTAATTCTGCAAATCACTTAAAGAGTTATTATTGCAATACAAAACAGTGCTTGCACGTAGCTGGCAATAAGATCTACTTGATCCTTTCTTTCATGATCCTGCTCAAAAATATATGGATGGGCGTGTTGAAAAAACATGGCCAATTTTTCCATGCAAAGTCAGGCATTTCACCACATACAGAATGAACCTGAAGTTTAGTCCAAGACTTAGCCAGCATATAGAACGTTGATCTTCAGCATCTCCAAAATATGCACATCACCAAGGCACTGGACAAAAATCACACTCAATAGGGTTTATCTGGGATATTTCTACATAAAAGTCAAATTAACATGTCAGTGTAAAAATTAATTCTGCTCTAAAATAGCAAGAATTAAGTACCTTCTAGATGAATGTACAGCAACTACATTAAAAAAATACAAAGGAAGAACAGATGACAGTGTAATGAGAGCAACACTAAACACATGACGCATAAAAGTTTCAAGGTTGGACTGTGCACTTGGAGGTTGAGGGATCTGTAAATGCTCTTTCCAGCACACAGAATCTGTCTTCCATAAAGCACTGCCTCATGCGGCAAACTTTCCCAAACAAAGCACTTATGGACCCTACCAAGGTACTAATTTTCAAAATCATCTGTGAGACTTTGAGCCTCTTCAGATCTGGTCAAATAAAATCATAGGTTCAAAAGTTATTAAAGAGCAGGGAATGCATAAGTTTTGCTTCAAAAGGAAGTCATGCTAGCAAGTGTCTAAAGCGAACATTATCAAATATACTTACATGGTAGGAATATGGTTCACCTTCTTCCATAGGCTCATCTGCCATTTTAAGGCCATTTAGCTGGAAAGGGGAAGGAAAGGCAATGCAGAAGAGAAAGGAAAAAAAAAAGCACAAAAGAAAACAACATTAAGACCTAATGATTTCAAATAAGCAGAGTTCATAATTAGACTAATTTAAATTTCAGAGCACACAACTGGAAATTGGTGTGCTTGTTGCTCTAATTTAAAAACGTAGTTTCAAACAAATACTACTGCTTAGTAGTTACATTTAGCATCTCCCCCATGTATTATGTAGCTTATCCCTTTGTAAATGCCATTCCATACTTATTTAATTGGTATTAATTTAAACTTCCTTCTTTAAAAGCTATAGATACCATCCATACAAGATAATACTAATGTAAAATCCTTCCGTTATGCACAAAAATTATGTTGCAGATGTGTTTTAGAAACCCCAAATCATAAAATCTGTGGCTGAAAATAAGGTTGTACTTTAAGGAGAAAAGATTCAAAAGTGATTTCAAGTCTTTTTGGGGCAAGAGGGAGAAGTGCAAGATGAGGTAGAATGGAGAATACACACCATAGAATTCTTATGCACAAAAAAAATTACCCATTTCCTTAAAAAATTAGACTCCTCTGAAAAATTGCTTGCATCAAGTTACTTAAATATCTAGCAAACAGAATACTCACACTTTAATGAAATACTTTAGAAACTGTAGATCTGTATATTAAAATATTTGTGGCTCAATTTCAAAAATAACACCTTTCAGAGGCAAAAAAGTATGATATATGCACCTGAACAGAAGCAAATAAATGATATACTCTTAAACGAGCACAATACTTGCAGGTATTTGCCTACCCCCCCTTCACACACTTGAAACACAAAAGATATCAAGCCCACAGTCACACTAAAAAGTGTTTAATTTATAAAGTCATTTAGTTTAAGCTCTCCTTAAGTATCAAATAATTCAATGTTTTTAAAGAACTGAAATGAAAAAAAAATACACAAATATAAAAGACACTCTCTGTTTCAACATGCAAAGCATTAATTAATAACTGGAAATACCTGACAAAATGGGTGAAGCCAATTATGGATTTTGCTAGTGATAATTGCTAATTTATTTATACGTTAATTGTTCAGAATCCCTACCTTCATGTGGCTTAGATGTCACGCAACAAAATACTAACTAGAAATAACACAAGGAAACTCAAACTACTTTTTTCCTGAAAACAGAAGTTGAACCAATTAAGTTCTTGGACCAGGCAATGATATTTTTTTTTCCCCTCATACTTCTGAATTTATCTAAAATACATACCTAAGATACCACAACATGGTATGATTATTGGTATGTGAACTGGTAAAATGCAGGACTACAAAGTATCTTGAAATGCCATCTAGACCATGTCCCCATTTAAAAACAAAACAGAAAACTCGGCAAACGGGTAGGGCTGAAGGGACAGGTTTATACCACCACGACTGCGTCATCTAAGCAACCCTCAACCACTTCCACTGCTTCTTCTAGGGCTCTTGAACTCAAGGAGAGCTTTTAAGAGCTAAATCCTAAACTAATGACTTAAAAATTAACTCTCCAATTTTTGTATCAAGATACTGGCACTTATTTTCGGACTGTATCCTCACTGAAAAAAAAAAAGTCAAGGAAAGTAGCGAAAGTTACTTTTGTTGTTCTCTAAGTTTCTATTTATTTTAACCACAATTTACACACATACTTTTCCCTTTAACTATAAACCATCAGTTTAACCCAGTACTGGCATAGTCAACACATGTCCATCATTCATATATATCATGCATTGCCACCCTAATTTCTCAAGGCCAAAAATCACTAACCTCTTAATATGAATTCAGAAGCCTCACATACGCTACAGAAACCAACACTACTAACTAATTTGCTGCATAACTTTTTTTTTTTGCATAGCTATTTTTTCCAAATTAGATACTGGGAGAGATGAGACACCCACTATACTTGTTATTGTATGAATTAATTTGATACATCAAGAAATAATGCCAAAGTTCAGACCAGATACGAACTCCAACCTCATTTCAGACAATTCACCACCATGTGATTTCTTTTCACAATATCATTAGATTACATTCAAGTGCGAACTAAGGTGAGGCCCACCCAAGTCCAAAAAACTTATTTAAACCCTGTAAGAAAAGGGGTTCCCACTCCAGATGCTCAGAAATACGATACAATTCCTCGCTCACGGGCTTTAATTTGGAGTAAACTTAGTGTGCATTTCACCTTTTCTTTCTTTAAAGATGATCAACATTTTCCAACATGTTTTACTTAAATTTAAGCTCTGGAAGCAATACCACTAGCCAGAAGAACTGCAGATACACTGAAAACAGTAGCTTAACTCCAGGCAATCAGATACAGAAAGCTGTCATTGCTGGAATAGGGATTTGCACCAAAAATCAGAATGTTATTTGATCTACATAGTTCCTGAGCATGCCATGTAAGCATACTTTCAGCTTTCCAGCAAATCAAATACAGCAAGTTATTGGATTTTTATGGCAGGTAATCAAATGTCATCTTAATTAACAATTTCCTATTGTACACTTTACATTGTTGCTCATGGTTTGGGATTTTTTTTTCTTTCCTTTTTGCCTGTCCAATCTCTCTGTAACTACAAAGCCTGGGACACCTGCCAATTTTTAGTCCAAAGAATTTTATGTTCTAGTGGATGAATCTACTTTTATTGCCTGATATACATGACTACACTTTTGCCTTATTTGCTTGTGAACTCTAGTCACTGCCCACTAAAAAACAAAACAACAAACAACAACAAACCTGATGGATTACAACCCAAAGTCTAGTAGTTTGTTAGTTATTCGGGTAAAAAATTCAATGACAAAAATCAAATCATTACTGTTCTGTACAGCTACTTATACTGGCCAAGTTTCAGTAACTAGAGCTTTCCAGCTTTCCACTGTCCCCCATATTAGGCAAAAAAGAAAAGTTACAATTAACACTTAATTCCCACCTCTATGGAAACTAAATACAAAATTCTGCTTCCACAGCCAAGTGGGACCCTTTTAATGATTTAATCATTAATATTTATGCACAAACATAGAGGTTAAAATATTTTTGTTCTATATAAGTCATTACTTACTAAATATCTATGAGCACACAAATTTATTATTGAGAATTAGAAAGCACATATGTCTATAAAGAGAACAGGTGAAAGGAAGCGAGTACCATTATTCTGAAGGAGATTCTTTCATCCTCAAATCATTTTGTTCAGTGCTGCTAAAGTCCTTCAACTAACTGAACATTTTAAATATTAACTTTCATTAAAACACAAACTAAACTCAGACATTTAGGCAAACAGTGTCAATACTTTCCAAATAAAAAAAAAAAAAATCAAAGTTAGAGAAAGCATTCTGCATTGTTGATCAGTATAAAAATAACTAAAACCACTACATAAAAAGAGAAGAAAAAGTTAGGGTCAGACAACCGAGCAGGTAAGAAACTTACTTTTCCAGAGGTGCAGGCTAAGAGACCCAATCCTCTGACGCCAAACTGCCTCCGAGGTAACACAGTGCAAACTGCCTTCTGATTTAAATAGCTGCAATGGATCCCATGACTAGCTGGGACTATACCCTATTACCTTGGGAGAATATCCAAAGGGCTTTTGTGGGCTGGTAAAAAGCTTAACTGCTATTGCACATGTTTTTCCTCTGATAATTACAGTACAGCAGAGCAACACCAGTATTACCAAAGGTTAGAACTATCTTCCCCCATATTAAGGATGCTTTAACAGTTAACATGGTAAACGCGTTATGGTTTGGTGGCTCTATAGGTTTTGGCCAAAAGAAACCTGAGAAATGGTCATCAAAAAATGCCTAACTACAGTGAAAAACAGTAGAAGATGTAAAGCTGGTTCATTCTGCCCTGTTTTTACAGGTCTTCATTTAGGCAATCAAACAGAATTAAAATTTTTGTAGAAAAAAAACAGAACGGGGAATTTTATAATCATAATGTTACTAGAAAGTGTTATTCACCACCACTCATGGATAACCTAGTCTGGCTTCAAACAGGTAAAATTCTACATAAGGATCAACAAAGGCTTCTGCATCCTCCACAGTTTCTCCTTTGCTACACTCAATTTGCTAAGTTACTGCAGCTACAGTCACCAGATCTACACCTCTCAAACACAAGACAAACCAGTTTGCTTCCCCACATACAAAAGTATTACTTCAAATACTTATTTCAAAATGTTAGAGTGGAAGCTTACACATTAGAAACCCCAATTATTTTGAAAAAAAAATCCTTTGAAAAAAAATTGTTCCTCACATTTGTTCCTCATTTATTTTGAATTACATCTGCAGAGAGTTTGCATCATTAATTTAATTAGCAACACATTGGCCTACTGAATCTTACTGACTGAGAAAAGTTTGAGAAATCTGGGGGTTCTATGCACAGCCAAACAGGTGAGGGGTTTTATTATTCTTTAAAAAATGTCTAAAAGTCACTGTGAACCTAACTGAAGCTTCAAGGCACCTGCTCTTCCTATAAAACATCCACAACTTTTCTCCATGCAATGGGGTTTTTTTGTGTGGGTTTTTTTTTTTTTTTTTTTTTTTAAAATGTAGACTTCATTGTTGCATGCAGGTGCCCAAGCTGGACTCAGTGCTCTTTACTGCCTGGGCTTTGGGAAAGAACAATTTCCCCCAGTACAGCAACCAACCCCATGATGCGGAAGATGAAGCTGTGTTATTAAGGTTACCCAACACAGAGTTACACCAACTACAGCAGAGTCCCAGCCTACCACGGTGTGACCAGAGGAAGGATGTCCCACCGACAGTAGTGCCCACATGAGACTCCGCAGGCCTGTGCTGAATTTTCTTCTCAAACTCTGTGCTAGTCTCAGTCCCTCAGCTCCTCCCACGAAAGGAAGAGGCCAGGTGACTCACTCACATTCTCTTTAAACATACCAAGTAAAACAGGAAGATAAAGCCATCTACCTTAAAAAAAAAAAACACACCAAACCATAAAATACTTAAACTCATAATCTATTACAAGGGAAAGTTATAAA